AGGGGTGGGGGCGGGGGGGGGATATGGACCCTTTCATTCTTGGATAGTGGGGAGATGGAAGTATGGACTGTCTATTCTCCAAAAAGAAAAGTAACAAATTTGTTCAATGACACCTCTTATGCCAATTAGCTACTAGCTTTTAGTAAACGTAGCATGAGTTGAAATGCTCCATATACTTTGCAATATTTCCCCTTTTGTTCAAGTCACTTTTTAAATAATGTACAGTACACCACATTGTGATTGTGTGCACCACATCCCAGTCTCTCATCACAAGTCGGACGGCGCTGTCTTCCTATTGGTCAATGCCGAAAAACCAATCGACAGACGACATATAGTAGGACATGTCACACTATGCCGTAAGACGGACAAAAATATTGACATGCAAGACTTTCGCCATTATGACCATGAGGCATCGTTGAGTACCGGTATGTCACACGACGTGGGCTACGATGCATCAAGACAACGCAAAATTGGCTACAAGCCACTACATTTGTCTGCCACACATCTGCCACCTTCACACCTCATAAGGCAACGACAGTTCACTAATTGCAGCAGCACAAGCTCATAAGAGCCAAAAAAGAGCAATGCTCAGTTTTAAATTTCACTCCAAGAGGTTGGATTTGCATAGAATCACCATCAATATTACTCAGAACACTTTTGATTATGCTACCTAAAGACGACCTCCATATATTGGAAACTTGTCTTATGATGATCCTCATCATTATTCAGAACCCTCTGAGCACGATTCTCTTTTATTTTTTTCAAGGAAACATTTGCACTGCAAACTCTCTGTGCATGTGTGCCTCATGAAAGCAATACAGTATTCCACTAACCTGATTGGCATCCAACACATTTATCCCTCCTGTTATTTAAATTTTTGAAGTTGAAACATTACAAATAAAGTTACATGTAAAAAACAAAACAATAGAATGTTTTTTTAAGCATTCAAACACTGACCCACAAACATTTTTTGGTGTAGCAAAAAAAAACAAGAAAAAAAACAAGTTCAATTAGTTAAGCATGGCGCAACGATAATAATTAAATGAATGTACAAAATAATACACTTTATATAAATCTAAGATTTAAGTCCTAAGTCACTTTAATCCTGAGCTGCTGTAGTTCCACTCCAACAACCACTGACAACATCAGCTCGTCTCAACAGAACAACACTGACGAGCATTGTGTCATGCGGAGCAGTTGCATCTTTCAAACTTGAGCCGCTCCCCCTCCCATCTGGCACAATTCATACAGTATGCAAAATACCGCTTGCCGCTTAGGAGCCCTGAGGTTGGCGGTTGAAATTGTGAGGGTTGGGGAGGGGCCGGGGGGGGGCTCTTGGGGTGTCATCAGGAAAGACTGGGGGATGTCTGGCACTGCCCACCACCGTGAGATAACCCAACTACGGCACTACTGGGCTTTCCCCAGTGACACAAACGCTCCACAGCCAAACGAATGAGCGCGCACACATCCACACACACACTTCCAAGTGAAGCTGACTTGGGCAAGTGCACTGCCAAAAGTGAACACACACAAAGCCTTTTTCAAACAGGCTATATTTACACTGCATGTTTTAAGTGAACATTTTTTCTGCTCTTTTGGAATATGTGTGACGGCAAGATAGCGGAAAAAAAACAAACAAACATGGAATGGTATCAGGCCTCTTCCAAATGTGGAGAAAATACTGACACAACAGATATCTGCCAATGTGAGTGCAGCATAAACACACAGACCGGAAATACCCCAACCATGCTAGCTTGATGTCATCGCAATGCACACATTGTACATACATTAGACATACACACCTGCCTCTGCCAAAACGACACAAAATAAAATAGAAAGCATAGCTTTATTTACAGCCTATATAATTCTAGCATTAGTGGGATGTGAGTGAAAAAGTGCACTCTATAGTTACTTTCATTTGAATCAATGATGGGAAGAGTAAGCTGAGGCCATCCAAAAGCTTTGTAATGTTTAATATTTGTTTTATTGCTATTGGAGTTATTTACATACAATTTGGCCGTGTTTACTTTGAATGTAAAGACACTCTTCTGATACGCTACGCATCACTAATAATATATATATATTTTTAAATCTGACATCGGCATGAAACTGAAATTGGGTTGTTGGACCTGCAGTGTAAATCCAGTCTTTGTCAACATGTAAACTTGCCACTCTGCTCACCTCAAGTGTCAACTTTGTTTTTTTCATTCCGAGCTGCATTACGTCACATCTCAAAGTAGCATGAAGAACATCACATCAGCTCCACTATCACTTTCTAAAACACGCAGCCTCACAAAGGAAGGCAGCACGTCTGCGCATGAACATCACATTGAAGGCCTGCATGCATCATCTCATGACTCGCACATACTCACTTACAGGATCATCAGTGCATCAGCGTACAAAGATGGGAACAACAAAAAAAAAACTCCAACCCAGTTTCCACATGTTTAGATTCTTAGATAGAAGTCTGCAG